TACGTAACGCGGCTATTGTGGATAAGCGCCTTGTTGTGCAAAAGCAGCAGAGGTTTTGTCAATTTTTCAAATCATTTCTCTTTAATGGCTCTATCTTTTATTAAAGCGTAGTCTTTTTCAGTCATAGAAGCAACTTAATTTTTATAATCAATCAATATTATTCCTTTCGACAATCAAAAGACCTTTTGCCATTAGTTAATCAGCTTACTGTGACACCTTGAACATCCTCGGAGGTGCTGTGTCCATCTTAAGTCGCTGCACGGAATCTTTTTTCTACTCAAGTTCATATTGATGAATCCATGGAGATGGAGAAGAATCCAGGATCAAATCGACTCAATCCATCTCTTCATTACAGAGGCGCAAAAAGGCAAGTGAATACTTTACGCGCTGTTGTTTTTGCGGAGGTGTGAGCGTTTTCGGCATCCATATTACGCTGCTCGCGATCAAGCTTAGAATTTAAGAAATGGTTGCTTCGGATACTCCAACCATGTTTGCGAGTTGTTTCATCTTTGGTCGAGCATCGCGCATTGTCGAGGTCACTTTCTTTAAGTTTTTGCATAAATTTTGGCGTGATTACTTTGATGATACGGCCGGCAGTGGTTTGTCTAGCCGCATTGCCACTTGTGCATCATGATTTTCCCCAGGCAAGAGTCACCGTAAAACAATGACATCTCATTCATTACGGTCACAACTGACATTCGTTGTTTGGTAAGGATCTTTGTGAGGGCACGATATTCAATATTTATTTTTTTCACTACCGATTATGTTGCTTGGTTAACGGCTGCTCAAATACGGATGGTCTAAAGACAATGAAATTTTCGTATTTTCACAAATAAATTAGTCACTGAATCGGCCACGAGCTGATTGAGCCCAACCACCCCCCTACAACCCCTCAATCTGCTGCTAAATTAACTCGCTCGTGAAGTTAAGAATATTTCATTTAATTACAAAATAAAAGTTAAAATATTTGTGAAAATTGTATATGCTCTTTATTACGCTTTTTATTAACCAAACAGTTTTTTTCTGCATAAATACATATATGTGTATGTATGTATATTTGCATATTAGCATTATTTTAATATTTCCAAACTTAATTTAGTTTTATTTTTATTTTTTAATGCAAGCATAAAATGAATCAATTTGTAAGTTTTCGATTATGTATTATATATAAAAAAAAAGCACATCATTTACTTATGTATGCATGTATGTATGTATGTATCTGTGTATGCTATTGTTTACATATCATTATCAATTTATTAAACTGCTGATTTTGGTTTTTTTTTTTTTTTGAAAAAATTTCACTTGAAATTTACATATTTGTTTCTAGTCTAACTAATTAATTCATACATATATAGAAATATATGTATGTACATATATATGTATATGTAATCAAGCTTAAAAGTACAATAGAAAAATATAATCATTTAGTTTTAACGAAGTACTTCAATTTTTGATTACGGTCGAACGGGAATCGATCTTTTTTTTTCAAGTTCAAAAAGTTAAAGCACACATACATAAGCAATAATGATGCAATAAAAAAAAATTAAAAAACTATAATTTTGGAAATTTAATTTATTTATTTGAAGGCTATATTTTGTGTGCTTAAAACATATTGTACAAATGCTTTATTAGAAAAATCTATTGATACCAAAGCTTGGTTCTTCTTCCGCTTGCAAAAAGGCAGTTTTTATACATCGAGTTAATTTGTTTTATATATTTTTTTAAAGATATATATCATATATATTTTTATTTAATTTTCATTTAATTTTTTATTTTTTTTTGTGTTCCATTATAGTATTGGATTTTTAAAAAACGGAATGTAAAATTTGTTGAAATTTCTTTAATCACAGCGTTCCATTGACTGGAAACACTGGGAATGTTCTGTTTTATGTGGGTATGTATGTATGATTTTTAAATTAGTTTGTTTTCAAATTGTTTCCTTCGGAAAGAATTGCTATTGTGGGTTCATTACGCTTGTCTTTTTCTACTCTTCAACGGTTGTAGTTCAGCTTAGTAGTTGTTCAGCTCGGCATATTCCAGCTCTTGTGCAATTGTTTTGTACTTTTCCACTCCTTTGCTAACCTCGGCTGTAAAGATTTATGTATGTATGTTGAGGTAAGGCATGTAAGAGATAAAGAATGATGAAGAAAGATTTAGGCGAAACAATTTTATCAATTTTTAAACATTTCATGCTGATTTACCAAATCAAAATAATGGCATCATTCTAAAATATTTTAATAATAAAAAATATTTTTTAACATTTATATGTATGCTCGTGAAACCACTATTTATTTCATATTTCTTTATACATAATTTTCTTCTTTTTTTTTACAAAAGCGTGCATAGTGAATGTCTACGCAGTACATATGTATATTATAGAACTCGAAGTGTGGTATACAGTTAAATGGAAAATATGCAAAAAAATAAAACTAAATAAATACAAATACACAATTAAATAAATATATATATTTTTTTACTTTCTTTCAATTTTCGGTTAACATCATCAATTAGCTGCACAACTATTTAAGGACAACTACATATACAAAGAAGAATATAATAGACTACATACAAAATACAAATCAAAGCTATGTGTTAATAATTACTTCATTTTTTTTTAATCAAAAAATTTGAAAAATAAACAATTTTTTTAAACACATAAAATATATGTAATTAAACTGATTTTCATTGTAGTCTTCTGCCTGCTGCAGTTGCCAATGTATATTGATAATAATTGTTGTACAGCATTTGTTGTTATTATTGTTGCCGTATGATGGTTTAGAGCATTTATTCCTTGAGGATGAGCTCGACGAAGGCGGTATCGAGATCGTCTCCAATATCCTTGTAACGTTCCTTCTCCAAGACAAGGTCGTCTAATGAAGTTGTTGACGAAATTAAGAAGAGAAAAAAGCAAAATAAATTAATTAAATTAAAAAATAATAATTAATTTAACAAAACCAGTCAACAGACATACATAGTATAAGATATAAAAACAATTACATCTTTTATAAAATAAATTAATATAAATAAAATACAATTACGACTTAACAGAGGACTAGAATTGGAAGCTCACTAGAATATCAAAAAAAAATTTTGATTAAGTTTAAAATTTCATAAGCATTTGGCATTCAAAAACAGTTGCCATTCATAAAGTTATTTCACGAAATGAATTTAAATCTATATATTGAACTATTTTTTATACTTTTTTTGCGCATGAAATGACAAATTCAGTTTAGTCCGAAGTATGTAAGTACCAGAAAGAGCAGAGATGCACAAAGTTGACGCTTTGTAGCTGCTGAAGCTAATTTGGGCCGAGCTTCTGCTTCAGTTTGTGGCGTGTCTAGATGTTTTTCCAACAAATGGAGAGACTTACAGTTTACACTAAACGGTTAATGGATTTTTATGAAGCGCCTTTATTTCATGTCAATTAAATACCCTCGGAGTGTTAGGCATTTTCTGCCGAGGGGCGACTGCAATTGAAAAAATTAACTTAAAAGAGCATAGACCCAGCAAAATTTACCACTATCGGGTAAGAATTACAAACTGAGTCCTCCTGTCCATCTCTATCTGTACGTAAACCAGTCCCTCAGTTTTTGAGTTGACCAAATTTGGTATACTGACACATCGGGCCATTAAAGCAAATTTGGTATTTTAGGTCATAAATCCATCAAAAAAAAGCGTCAAGGAGTGTGAAAGTTCGTAGTCTACACATTCCAATAAGTGGTGTCATTTTGATATTCAAAGAAGTTTTTCCCTTAAAAGATCGATGGTTTTGGTGCTTTTGTGGCACATAGCGCCGTCTTGTTAAAAGTAAACTTTTCCCAGATCAATACAATAAAATTTCGATCATAAAAAAATTTTTCTAATTATTTCTACTTTCATTTTCGAAAAACTAAGGTCCAATGACGCTGTCGGGCCATAAACCGCACCAAACAGTTCAGGATGGAGCGGCTTTTTCAACTATATATCTTGGGTTTTCCGTGCAGCTGGAGTGAAAGTTTTGCTTATTGACATAGCCATCGAGACGCAAAGGGGTATTTTCAATAAAGCAGATTTTTCCATGAAATTTTGTTGTTTGAATTTTAATAATTTCAATGCGTTGTTGAAGCGTGGATCGTTTCATTTGTTTTATGGGCGCACTTTTAACTTGGCAACTGTTACATTTACCGGAAGAGCAGACAAATCATCATAATACCTCTTATTGGAAAACTCTATAATAAACTTTATATTGGCATTGAAAATGGTCGAAATCGTACGTCGATAACATATATCGTCCCTACAGCGATTATTTCAAATAAGAGATTTAGGTTAAAGAATCTGTCAAGAGAGCTTGCGACTTCACAAAAAAAATCATCGAAATCAGAGAACTATAAAATATAGCTTCCTCTAATCATTCTTTTTTCAGTTATGAGCATTATTACATAATCCTAAAATTGAAGTACCATAAAATGGAAATGGTCATGAAAGGTATAAAGACATCGCCTTGGCCGATCTTACTTGTTTTTAGTTTACTTAATACTAAATTATAGTACATAAATTTTGGAATTGGACAAATAAAAATTGAAAAAAAAAAAAACAGCAAAATAAACAATTAATTTAAAATATAAAAACAAAACAAAGCAAAAAAATGAAATCAACTTAAAATTGAAAATAAAGTTTACCTTTCTTGTGCTTCATTAGACGGCGCAATGTTCAAAAGCAGCTTCATTTGCTTGTTGGCGTTGGCTCTTGGGGTTTTGTTAGTGCGGCAGCCGCGTCGCTTGGCGGTATTTGCTGTTATATTATGTTAAAGCGTATTCTCGAAAAATACCAAGTATCTAATTTTAATTTGAGCTTGGCAAAGCTCATTGTTAGCATAAAATACAAAAAAAAAAACAATAAGCAAAAATGTCGTTCCCAACAATGCAATGCCTAGGCTTCCGAGTAATTTTATCTCTTCAATTAGAATTTTTAATCATTTAATTTATTTATTAATAATATGAGGAAAAAACATAACAAATGCATTGTTTTAAATTAAATAAGTTAAATAAGTAAGTAGGTTTCTAAAGCGTATATGATCGGTTTTTATTTTTTTTGTTTTTGTTTTTAATTTTTTATAATGGATCCTCTAAACTAAACGCGTTCATGCAAACAACTAAAACTGGCAGCTTTATGTAGTGGCTGTGTTTATCGCCTATGTGATTTACACGCCCATAGAAGAGGTTCTCTATGTAGTCGAGGTGCTTTTACAGGAATTTCTTCATATATGTATATAAAATAGTCTTTTCGGGTTTTGTTTGACCACACAACCATACTTATGCGGTTGGCGCAGGTTCTGCTGGTGGAGCAGCTTCCGCTGGTGCTGGTGGGGCTTCTGCAGCCGGTGCGGGAGCAGCTTCTGCTGGTGGCGCAGCATCAGCGGCTGGCGCTGCCTCTGCAGCAGGTGCAGCCTCAGCAGCTGGTGCGCCCTCAGCCGCTGGTGCTGGAGCCGCATCGGAAGGCGGGGCAGCTTCAGCTGGTGGCGCTGCTGCCGCATCTGTTGGTGCAGCTTCTGCGGGCGGTGGCGCTGCATCACCTTCAGCTGGTGGCGCAGCAGCAGCCGCATCCGCTGGAGGTGCGCCTTCAGTTGCAGCTGGAGCACCTTCGGCTGGTGGTGCAGCTTCACCCTCTGCTGGTTCTGCACCCGGTGGTGGTGGTTCATAGTTCTTAACAAACGGCACTTCAGCACCTTCTGGCGGCAAATCGATGGAGTATTCAAATGGTGGTGGTGGTGGTGGTGGTGGTGTTGGTTCCTTAACTGGTTCTGGCTCAGCTGCAGCCGCTTCGGCGCCTGGCACGCCGGAAACTCTTCTTTCCGCACCCTCTGCTGCGGCACCTTCGCCGCCGGCTTCAGCTGCTTCAGCAGCTGCCGCCTCCGCAGCCGCTGCTGCTTCTGCTTCCGCTTTAGCAGCTTCAGCTGCGGCAATTTCTTCCGGTGTCGGCGTTGGTAGTTTCGGTGTTGGCGGTTTGGGATTACGCGGTGTCCAGAATGGCTCAAGTCCGGGTATTAGATCCAAGAAGGCCAAGTCAAGACTGTCGCCGATGAGGCAGTAACGCTCTTTTTCAACAATTAAATCATCTTGATAATTTAATTTTCCGAAACATAAGTATTACCGTTACCATTTTCGAAAGTTATTTTTGGTAATTAAAGATAGCGTGATGAATTGATGAGCAAAAATGCAAGAAGATAGAAAGAACATGCGAACAGTAATAAGATAATCAAGTGCAATTTAATGAAATATAAACAAATCAAATAGCAAAATTATAGTAGAGGCAATAAGAAAACTGAGTGTATGGAAGAAGAAGAAGACGAAGACGATGTGCTGAGAATGTAAGGTCGGTTAGCGGAAATTGTTGGTTAGACAGGCAAAAGAAGAACGCGACATTTAAAACACAGGCAACATATCAGAAATCGACGAGCAAGTTGCAATTCCGCGATCCAATTCAACTTTTAATGTTAATTTTCGATTTTCAACTTTATTTTCATTTTTTTTTTTTTTTTTTTTTTTTATAAAATTGGAGTTCATCACAGTATTGTGCTAATATGTATATAATCTGTCGGCAGCAAATCCAAATAATTTTTATGCTGGTGGTGCTTCAGCTGGTGCCTCAGTGGGAGCAGCTGGCGCTGCTTCTGGAGCTGGTGTTTCTGCGGCTGGAGCTGCAGCTTCCGCTGTTGGTGCTGGTGCACCTTCAGCAGCTGGAGCTGGAGCAGCGCCTTCAGCTGGTGGAGCCGGTGCCCCTTCTGCCGGTGGTGCGCCTTCTGCTGGTGCTGCGCCTTCTGCCGGTGGTGCGCCTTCCGCCGGTGGTGCGCCTTCTGCCGGTGGTGCGCCTTCTGCCGGTGGAGCGCCTTCAGCTGCGGGAGCACCCTCCGCTGGTGCTTCCTCTGATGGTGGTGGTATAGCAGTTGGATCGAAATTCTTTACATATGGTACTTCAGCGCCCTCTGGTGGCAAATCGATGGCATATTCGAATGGTGGCGGTGGTGGTGGTGGTGGTGGTGTTGGTTCCTTCACGGGTTCAGCTGCAACTGCAGCGCCTTCAACAGCACCCTCACCCGCAGCTGGTACGCCGGCGGCACCTTCAGCCGCACCTTCAACGGTTTCACCACGTTCCGCAGCCTCGGCAGCTGCTTGAGCGGCAGCCGCAGCTTCTGCAGCCGCCGCCTCAGCAGCAGCAATTTCTTCAGGTGTCGGTGTGGGTAATTTGGGTGTGGGTGGTTTGGGGTTACGATCGGTATAGAACGGATCCATGCCCATCAAATCAACGAAGGCCACGTCGAGACTGTCGCCGATCATTGCGTAATGCTCCTTCTCTATGATCATCTCGTCTGGCGTGTGTTTTGGCATTTCAAAGGCATTTAACGTAAATACGTTTGTACGTTGGTTGTTGGATTGGTTGTTGGGTTGGTGGTTGGTGATAGATTGGTTTGTACGGATTTGTACGGTTGAAGTGGTGGTTAAATAAGCGATTAGCAGTTAAATTAACAAAGCGGCGAATATGAGGAAGCAATATGTATAAAATCAAAAGAAACAAAATTAAAAATAAGCCATTATAAGAACCCTAACTGTTTTATACATATGTATGTATTGAGCAGCGTGTGTTGATAAACGATTCCTAATTGTAAATATTTGTATATGTATATGTGGTGCAGTCACAGTAATGGGCGGGACGACAAGTGCACAACACTGCTAGCAAACATGAAACAGAAATATTTTAACACAACAACAAATTAGCGCACTTTATGGTTGTTGGTTGATATAAAGACTTTAATAATAAAACAGCAGATTAGACGGCTGATGTTGGCTCAGTGGTGGTAGAGCACTCGCTTGTTAAATCAGGATGCTTTGGTTCTAAATCCCTGCCAGAAGTAGTCTTCTGATGATGAGATGTGGTGATCTCCGAAAGAGCTGTCACTTTTATAACTTTTTTTTTGTACAGCAAAATATTCAATTTGCCTTTCGCTCACTAACTTCACACTAACAAAGATCAACAGTGCGTACAGGCCGCAAAAACAAATTAGGAATGTCTTTAATTATTACTTTAGTATACGTAGATTACAGTTAAAAGACATAGGTTATTTTTGAAAAAATACTTTATTTGTGCAAATTGCAGCTGAATCATATGTAAATGTATTTTATTTAAAAATATAAATAATAATTTACTTTTGTAGTTTAATTGATTTTACGTAAATAAATCGAATGTAAAATTGCATACGTAATTTGTTATGGTTTCCCACATTTACTGCCGACAAACAAAAAAAAAGTTTTAATCATAAAAGTTTAATATTGAACAATAGCAAAGCTAACTTTTTTTTTACAATTTATTAATATTTTCTGCTATGTTTTTCTACATGCGGCATTTAAAGGGTCCATGAAAATGGGTTAGAATACAAAGGCAGTAGGGAAGTACTACTTAAACGTTAAGAAATTTTACACATTATACAGTACACGATATTTCGGCTTTTGTCTTTTTCGCAAATGTATTTTACACTCTATAGTAATGAAGTAAATAATTATTAATTATTAATACATAGATTTAGGTTTTTTTCTTGTCTTTCTTTAAACATTAAACAGAACAGAAAATATACGAAAATATACGCAAACGTACAAAGTCAAATATAAAATAAAAATATTTAAATTAGCATTAAATTATAAATTAATGGCTTCGCGCATTCAACTTACAATGCTTGCAATATATTGTTATATGTATGTTATGTATGCGTACGCATAATTTTGATTGTTTTTAAATTATTTTCTAGCAACAGACACATAATGAGCAGTAAAAGCATAAACACAAAATTTACAAAATTAAATTGATAAAAAAAAATATTGCAAGGGCAATTTAAAAATAAAATAGTGACAAATATATAAAAAGAAATACTTTAAAACGCCTTTAGCGCGTATAAATGTTAACATTTTTCATTTATTTTAATCAATTTATTTATAGTATTAGCACACGTTGAAGAGAAATAGTTAAAAAAAAGTAATATCTTTTTTTTGCTTTTACAACAAAATTGGAATTTTGCACAATAATTGGAATGTACTGTAAAACGAAGTTGCCACCTTAAATTTTTCTGCATATAATTTATATAAAAAAAAAATAATAATAACTCTTTATAATATTGTGCGTTTGCGGCGAAGAAAATAATTTGTCTTACATTCAAGTTTTTTTTATGTAAATGGAAATTATTGGAATTATAGGTTTTTTTCTTTCTTATTTTTAACGCAGTCAGAGAAAGGACAAAAAAATTGCAGTTTTTACGTTGTCTTTTTTTTTTTAGTAAAATATATGTTTATATTATTTGATTGTTGCTGCTATCTTTGCTGTTTTCGCTTTTGTTTATGCTTTGCAGCAAAATGATTTAAATAATTATAATTATTTAATTACTATAACATTATGGAAGGATGCTCACTCCGCTGACTCGATATTATTAGGAGACCCCTTACCCTTACTTAGGCTTAAGGAGGCACCTCAAATGACAGCAAAGGCACTTTATAGGTATGTATGTATGCACGTGTGTTTTATGTTTTCTTACATACTTAATATGTTTGTATATATGTATGTAGTTGTTGCTGTTTTCGTTTTTCTTTCTTTCAATAATAATAATAGTTGTAGTGTTGGTTTATTCATTTGTTGTTGTTGGTGTTGTTGTTGTTGTTGTTGTTGTGCTGTATACACTTAATACAAAAACATGTTGATGTTACATTATCAAGTAGGAGGAGGCCACAATGCAGCGAGTGGGAGTGGCAGTGGCGTTTTTGCAGCATTAAATATTCACATATTTTGAATATCATGCAGAGTGGCTTCCATCTCTTCCTGCAGCAGTTTGTTCTTATTGCGTTCATTCACCAAATCATCTGATTGTGTTTGCAATATATATACATATATTGACAAATTGTTATATTTTGTTGTGTTTTAACGTTTGTTTTGTTAAGCAAACAGTTTTTTTTTTTTTTCAAATATATAAAAACATTTTTGAATATACATACAACATACATAAAAAAAATTAACATATAACAAAGTTGTAACATTTTGAAAGAAAAAAATCATAATTAAGCAAAATATACACACAAATAACATGAAAAAAAAAACAAATAAAAATAATTTAAAATATTATATTTAAAACACAACATTTTGGTTTTAGTAGCAGGTTTTAATATTAGAAATATTTTTCGGTTTTTGTTCAGGCAGTAGGCGGAGCAGATATACGAGCGAGCGAGCAGGCAAGCGCACATAAAATAGGAAAAAATCAAATTTTAATAAATAAAAATTAAAAATGAAAATTAAAAATATATAAACACATACATATGTATGTATGTAAATCTTAAACTCAGTCGTAAATAGCAATAAAGTACAAGTAATAAAAAAACAAAAAAATTTAAATGGTAAAATAAATATATAAAAATCATAAATATTACAAGTTCTATATACTGGCGCGCAGAATAATCGTCTAATGTATTTTCAAACAAATATTCAACTACTGTTGTTACGTGAAGTAGACAACAAATATAGATATTTTAATTTAAAAATAATTTAAGCGCTCTTTTTTAAACATACATACATACATTCTACAAGTATTTTATGAGTAATATATGTAAGTAAATAATAGTTTCTTCAAATCTGCTAAAAAAAATAGTTGAATACCAGAAGAAAAATGGTAAAAGGTTTTTCTTAGCGCTGCCAAAATATACAAAAATATATATTTTTGATGACTAAAAATTTATATATGAAAATACTTAAAAATACTTTCAAAATCAATGCACTCGCTGTACACTAACAATAACACATAAAGAGCTACAAATATACATTTAAAACTTTCATAAGAGACTAACATAAGGAGAACATCACATGGAATGTGAGAAATATGCATAAAATTGTGTAATTTAATTAAGTGTCTAATATAATATAAATGTGCTAAAGAAGAAATGAAAAATTCTTTTAACTAACTAAATTTATTGTACGAGTATAAATTCGTGTATTTTTTTTTTTTTTTTGCACTTTAACATAATATCGAACATAAGAACGTATGAGTATTCTTCCATATTCTTTCTTTTTTATAAACTATAACTTTACTTTAGATATGTAATATGTGATGTAAGTAATCTTTAATGGACATACCTTCGAGCCTGTCGACTTCCTTCTGCAATTTTTGAACGGAACGTTCAGCGAATTCAGCACGGGCTTCAGCCTGAGTGTGATTTATAACGACGACAATTGTTTCAAATCGATTTTCAAGACGCCGTTGATTGATTGTTATATTAAAAACGGTAAAAGAATAATGAATCGTATTAGTATCTTCATATAAATATATATATAGTAGATAAGGTGGTTGGTTGAAAAGTTCTACCATAAAAAGTGGATAAAAAGTGAAATGACTATAAAACCAAAAAGTGTACAATGAAAAGAAAGAAATATTATGCAAAATTTTGCATTAATGCTTTACTTTTATTTTATTTATTTTTTTATTTATTTCTTTTATTTATTTTTTTATTTTTTTTTATTTTTTTCTTTATTTATTTCTTTATTTATTTTTTTTTATTTTTGTTTTATTTACCTTTTTTTTATTTTTTTTATTTACCTTTTTATTTTATTTACCTTTTTATTTTTTTATATTTTTTTTTTATTTACCTTTTTATTTTTCTATTTATTTTTTTTATTTATTTTTTGTATTTAGTTATTTTATTTTTTATTTATTTATTTTTTTATTTATTTATTTCTTTATTTATTTATTTTTTTTTTTATTTATTTATTTTTTTTCTTTATTTATTTTTTTTTATTTCTTTATTTTTATTTATTTATTTTTTTATTTATATTTTTATTTCTTTATTAATTTTTTTTATTTATTTCTTTATTTATTTTTTAATTTTTTTTTATTATTTATTTTTTATTTATTTATTTTTTTTTTATTATTTTTTATTTTTATTTTTNTTTATTTTTTGATTTATGTTTTTATTATTTACTTTTTGATTTATTTTTTTTTTATTATTAATTTTTTGATTATTTATTTTTGTATTATTTATTTTTGTATTATTTATTTTTTTATTATTTATTTTGTTATTATTAATTTTTTTATTATTAATTTTTTTATAATTAATTTTTTTATTATTAATTTTATTATTATTAATTTTTTTATTATTAATTTTTTATTATTTATTTTTTTTTTATTGCTTATTTTTCATTATGTTTCTTTCGTCATTGTAACTTTGTTGTAATTGTCACTTTTTTCCGGGGTATAAAAAGCTTCACAAATACTACCAAAACCAGCGTTAATATGTATGTTTATCGAATTATTTTCAGCGGACTCGTCTTTTTTTAATACTTTACTTGATTTGTTAATATTTCATTACTCAATTTTCGTTGTTGGGAAATGTAAAAAGATGTAAGTTTAAAGTTTTAAAAATAACATTAATTTTTTAGTAGTTTAGTTTTTCTTTTGCTGTAATAATGTTATTTTGAAAATATTTCAATATTTTTTAATTACATATAAAACTTGTAAGTAGTGTTATTTGTAATACCAAAAGTGTTTTGTTGTACTTAAAACTATAGTTATCAAAAAGTACTGTGCATATTTGATTTAGCGCATAAATTGGGAAAATACGAGTAAGTAGTACCAACTTTGAAGCTTTTTAATAGCCTTAATGGTGTCCAATTCATTTTTATTTTTTTTTGGTTTAGACTACACAAGAAGTTCAGCATATTATACTAACAATTTTCAATTTGTTAAATTGCCCACTACAGTTGCTATATATAGATATAATTTTTTTTCGTTTTCTTTCGCCAGCAGCAGCATCTACGTTGGAAATAAACTGTTTTTTCTCTTTGTAGGCCATTTATAAGAATAGAAAAAAAGACTACGCCGGGGCAAAAACATAACTTACAGTTTCTAAATTAATTTTCATTTGAAAAATCTCCTTTTCACTTTCTTTTTGCGTTTCACGAGCCTAAATATGAACGCATTCATAACGCAGCAACAGAACAACAGTGCAGAACAGCGCGACGATCAAGTAGCAGCAGAAGTTGCACACAAACACAGAAGAAAAATATATCATTTTCTCTACAATTTTTACATAAGTAAGTATATTTTTCATATTTCATATAAGACTTGTTTGCCAAATTTATTGAAAAAAAAAACAAATAAAATATCTACCGAACTAGTTTTTTATTATTATTTTTAAAATTCAAAAATATATTTTAAAATGTATTTAATATTTTAAAGTGTATATTTTTGTATTAAAACTACTGAAAAATGAATTCATATATTAAATATTGCAAAACTTTGACAGGATATTAGAAATGAAGTTTTCAAGTTTAAAGGGACAACGAGTAAAAACTAATATATGTTTACTGTATAGACAATTAATAGTGTGGCAACATCAAAACACAAAAAAAATTTATATATTTTTTTTTATAAAAACCATAATAAAGGCGGAAATTGCTCACGTAAAATATTTTCCACAACACTGTCGGGTATACCGCCTAGAAGTAGGCAGCAAATGCACATGCACACACCCACACACACACACAGTGCTGTAAGAAATATTTGAATATTTCGCAACTATTGCCATTGATGCACAAAAAGTTGTTTTCAATTTTATGCAAGTGTACGTTACATTTAATTTAGACTGAATTGAAGAAAAAAAAAACAATTAATTGCACGCTTGTTTGTGGGGTCTGGAAAGGCATGAAAATTAGTAGAATAATTTTAAACTAATTTTACCCTAATGTTTGTTTAGTTTGTTTGTTGGCATGTTCGTTTGGTTTATTTATTTTTATTTTTTAATCGATTGTAGATCTGTGATTAACGGTTTATTACTTGCCATGATATATTTTTCTGTTGTGTGTTGATCTCGTTGTTGCTGTTTCGAGTACATACATATTTAGCTCCATTATGCGCTTATTTTACTTTTCTCGATTTTTGTTCAATGACAATAATAATAAAAAAAAAAAAATAACTAAAAATCAATACATACATACATATATGTAAACAAAGTATGTGTATTAGCATAAAAAATTAAAACAACATAAAACTGAGGTTATAGATATTACAAAAATTTACAACGATCATTTTTGTTCCTATTTTTTTTCTATGTACATTAATTAAAATTGAGAATAACAATTTGTGCAATTAGATATTTGTTTTATTTTTTTTTTTTTAATTAATATCGTATTTTTCGATTGCATAAAATATTTATGCGTGTGATATTCACGCGTTTTCGTCTTAAGTGGGTGTAATGCAATGTATGTATTTATGTACATGGGAATCATATAAAATAAAAAAAGTCGCAAACTTTGCCGAAAAACACATGAATATCATTTTTTAGTAGGAAAAATATTGAGGAAAATTGGAAATATGCAATAGTAAAGATTCTATGGTTAAAGCGTTATTAAAATTTTTTTTGCAATTTTATGCACTTCAATAAAACAATATTAAGGTCAAACATATAAATAAAATATTAACTTTATAGATATTAAAAGAAATCTAAATATGCTATAAGGATCTATCTATTTTGTGGCACTACAAAAATTATTTTTAAATTGGTGAAACGAAAGTTGTATGCTCAGTTTAAGCATATGTAAGTCCAAAATCATCATAGATTATACAAAAGAAGTAATTTTCTAATTAAACTTCATCTAACAAAATGAATTTAATAAAGACTGCTGAATTATATACATATATATAATATTGCGCACCAGTCCCATGGTGAAATGGGCAAAATTATATCTTATGATCTTACGTAAATAATTAGTTTAGATATAAAATTTAGCCCTCACACCATTACAAAAATACAAATAGAAATAGTTTCGAATAGAGTATTACGTGATATTTAAATCTTTCATTTTAAATAAGCGAAAAAATAGTAATACCTCTCTCAACTGATGATCCAAAAGTCTAATCTGACCCTCGAAAGTTTCCTCTTTTTGCGTGGCCTACAATATTTACCATTTGGTGATATATTTTGTTACGATTATTTAGAGACAACAACCAAAAACAACCCAAATCGGTTTGATCAGCAAAGGGTCGTCCGAAATAATGGTTATTTTTTTTTTTTTCATTTTGTTTCATAAACGCGTTGTAGAGCAGCAGGAATTTCGCGCATAATATTGATTTGCACAAAAATGTATTGGTATTTTCGTTTCAATGCAGTTGGTGTTTATTAGTGGTTGACGTTTGATAGGTGGCACAAACGCACACGTTATAAATCGTGGGGGAGAAAATTATGTGGTGCAAAAATAAAACAATAAACAATTAATGTGCATGCAAAGTAACAAAATTGACATTTTCGGTTATTTTTTTTTTTTTTATTATTAGTTTAGCAGCAGTGGTGAGAGCGGTTGTTGCAATTCATTGTTGTTGGTGGTGTCAGTGGCGGCGATTTTCAGTTTATTTGTTGTTGTTATTATTTATGATTGCCAGTGGTTTTTTTTTGGGCGGTGCATGCATAAAACACACACAAAGGTCCAGGTCCATTGTTTTTTTTTTATTTGTTTTGTTTGGTTGAATCATAAATAAATTTTACAAACAACAAAAAGTGCAATTTAACACAAAGCAAACGAGCAGAGCATAGCGGTAATACATGAAAATAAATAAATAAAAGGTGGTTAATATAAATGTGATATTTTTTGAAGTTATATGATAAATTAAAAACAAAAACAAATTTTAATACATTTAACATAGAAATGTACATATTTATAATCAATAATAACAACAAATCGGTAGATATTTTATATGCATTGCAAAAGTATAAAATAATAATAAATTGAATATACATTTAATATATGTAGCTTGTTAGTGGCTAAAAAAATTTGTTTAATAAAAACATATGTTTTTTTTTTATTGTACTTATGAGTACATTCTCATATAAGCACTTTTATACAATAAAATAAACTATATTTAATATCAGAGAAATGAGAAATAAAATCAATGCGAGAGAAATGTTGCTGGTAAAATATATTTTTGATACGCGCCGTATTTTAACGGCAATAAAATGAAGAAAAAAGGCTACATCTTTTAAAGGCAACTTAACCCTTTTCTAAAGTAACGCTGGTTTACAACATCAAAACTGTAAAAAAATTCAGTTTTCGTGTTTGGTTTTGCTAGAATTTGTGAGTTTATACATTTTTTATACAAAGAACTTTCCAATTTTTTTGTTTATTTTTTTGCACAAATTTAGTACCTCCTTTAGACGGGTATTCAAGGTCTTGATTTGGTTCTTGTACTCTTCCTCACGTTGGTTGGCCTTTTTGTCGATAATAAATATTGGATTTGTCGTACGAATTTTTTCATAATTGGGGATTTTTGTTTGGGGAAAAATATTATTAGTTAAATAAAGTAATTTTTGAGCTACTATTTATGCTTCAAATACTTAATTTATAAATAAAGACTTTAATGTAATGATAATGAAATTAAATTAAAAGAAAATTCTTATTAAAAAAATAAATAAATTCTCAATATTCACTGACAAAAAATAAAAATAACATATTTTCAAAAAAAAAAAAGTTATAAATAAAATTTTTGATACCAGTTCTCAAACATAAAATGTAATTAGCATGTGTATAAATATTCACAATAAGAATTATGCATACTGACCTTCTCCTCTGATACTTCAAGGGATTTCAAGTTGTTACCAACAACGCGGAGTTCTTCCTCAAGTTCCACAATTTTGCTGTTGTAAATAATAAAAAATAAATATATTATTAATAGAAAACAAACTAATAAGTGTGGTTATGTGACCACAGACATTCGCAGAAAATTTGCCAAAAATTATTTACCGCATAAAACATTTTTTTGAATACATACAAATTTTAAAGCTTCCAAAACTCCCAATTTCAAGTTAAAAGAGCGAGCAAAACCGACCGCTTACAACGAGATTTTTTATTGTTGTTATTTCGGTTTTATTTTTTTCTTGCAGCCAACGTCTATGGATATGACACTAAAAAATGGTGTCAACAAATCAAATTCCTGACGTCCGGCAAAAGAAAGAAACAAAAAAATCACACACACACACACAAATGAGTCAGCCAATAACTCAAAGGAAATTGTAATAAAAAAATTCGCTGTTTGTGCTATTTTTTTTTAAAGGTAAGAGAATAAAAAAATTTGAATAACATTGGCGAAAAGAAAAAAAATTATGATTGAAAACCTAGCAGTGTCACTTGACATTTCTTCTTCTTTCTTCCAGACATGGCTTATTTGTTTGTATTTGTTTAGCAGTCAGTCACTTTCAAATCAGCACAAATAAATACTAAAATAAATAGAAAATAAAGAAAAAAGTAATAGAAAAAATACTTTGAAAAAAAATTATTCCGTAAAAACAAAATCAAATGGCAACCGGCGAATTAACAACAAAGATGCTGGTGGTTGGCAATGTATACGGTAATGTGTATATGAGTACAGGTAAATATTGAAAGTACATTAATTGCGTATACACACACACGCACGGACTTTTGTATGATTGCACGTTGTGCGCGTTAAGTTGGCGTTTCACCGCTTCGGTCGCACAACAAGAAGTGATTTCTCCCAAAATACAGATAAATAAATAAAACAAAAAAAAAATAATAATAAAAAAATTGTTTAAACAAATAAATATGTTTGGAAACCACTGCATAGCAATGAGATGAAATAATTTCAGTAAATATGTCAGCCAGCTGATCTTGCTGAAATCACTTTTACTGCGGGCTTAATTGAATTATGTGTGCATACAGATGAATGTATGTACGAAAAAAATTTCATCTTACGTTTAAAAAAAAAATTTTAATTTAAAGAATGAGAAAAGAAATATAAAAAAATAAAACGAAATAAAAAAATAAAAATGAATATAAAAAAACTCAAAAACAAATTTGAGAAAAAATATAAAAATAAAAATATAAGAAAACCTAAAAAAACCATAAAAAAAACAAAAATATATATAAAATATATAAAAATATAAAAAAATAAAACGAAATAAAAAAATAAAAATAAATATAAAAAAACTCAAAAATAAATATAAGAAAATTAAAACATAGAAATATGAAAAAATAATTTGATATATAAAAAATTAATATATATAAAAAACCTAAAATACTAATGAAACAAATTTAAAATATAAGAATGAAAAAATATAAAGGGAAATATAAAAAATAAAAGGAAATATAAAAAATAAACAAATATAAATTTAAAAAAGCTCAATAAAAATTAAAATACAAATATAAGAATATCAAAATATAAAGATAAATATAAAAAATTAAAGGAAACATAAAAAAAACCGAAAAAATGAAAATGAAAATATAAAAATATAAAAATTTATACTAAAAGCTCAAAAATACGAGGTAAGAAGATAAAAATAAATAGAAAAATTAAAAAATTGAAATAAATTTCAATATATAAAAATAAATATAAAATAATAGAAAGAAATGTAACAAATTAAAATATGTATAAAAAAATTAAAATATATATAAAAAAAACTAAAATGTCTAAATAAAAATTATGTAAATAAATGTAAAAATAATAATATAAAAAATTAAAAAAAAAATAAAACCAAATTAAATATAAAAAAACACCAAAGCAATTCAGAAATAAAAATAAATAACGTAAAAAAAATATACACATTGAATATAAATTGAGATTTTCAAGTGTACTGCTGCGTTAAAAGCATTTGAGTTTAAACAGATTTTTATGTTTTTTGGCAAAAACGTGACTTAAAAATTGGTCTCAAATATATAAAAAAATATAAACAAATAAACATAATTGCCTGAAAAATTGGTAGATTTTGCAATTACAAGGTCTCTCTGCAACACTCAATGAATGACTGATTATTGCCATTATTGAGCTTTCATAACTTTATTTCTTTTTTAAACCAAAAACAAGGGTATTGTAAAAAAATTGGAGTTCCACAGATAAAAAATGGTTATTCACCAAAAAATGCGGTTAAACTAATTAATTTGCATTTATCGTGCAAAAATACGTTTCTTGATTGGCGGCAAATTTTCCAAAATATCTACAACCACATAAAATATTGTGATTTTTTATAAAATAATTTTAATTTAATTGTTTTTTAGTAAATAGTAAAATGCATAACATAAATAACAATAAAATTTAAACAAAAATAAAAATAAAATAAAACACATTGAAAAGCAGTACAAACCTTTCGCTAAGTTCAACTTTTTCTTCGGAACGTTCCAAGTCCTGTTCCATAAGGACCAACTTTCTAGCAACCTTTAGAGACATCAAGTTGCCCAGTTGCGATTTCGTTTAGCAAAGACATGGCATACACAGAACACATAGCAAAACATAGGGCAATGTTATGGACAATAGTGTCGCGGAGCGGATTGGCAGCGAGCGAGCGAGCGAACAGTGTTAATGTTGTTACGATAACAGCGTTTCATTTGTTTTTTTTGTTTGTTTTGTTTTTGGTTAGCATGTAGCGGTATTTATAAATATAAAAAGTAAAAAAAATCAATTAGTGCCTGAAATAGTGTAAATCTGGTGCAGCATATTTTGTGATAAATGAATGTGAAAAATGTGAAGAAACTATATATGTATGTATGATGTGCACGCCTGCAGCAATATATTCTACTACTAATTTCAAATATGAATTTGTATGAAGAATGTATTTAACATTTTATACACACATTTTTTTACATACATACATACAAATATGTAGCATTATTATAATTATGCTTTACAAATACATACATAAATCAGTAGGCGCATGCAATTAAAATTTTGCACATTTTTTTCGATTTTTTTTTTTTTTTGATTATTCACATTTTTCCAATTCATTGTATCTACATATGTAGTAGTTCGCTCTAACTAGCTAGCTAACACGTTCAATTCAGGCAAACAATTATGAAATTTATAAACATCAAAACAAATTAAAAACTTAAATGGTATTAAATAAAATTTTAAATAATAAAAGAAATATTTGTAAATATCTAGGTTAGGTTTTTGCGGTTTTGCGAGTTAAGTCGTTAAGTAGTGAACACAAAAAGTCTGCTTTGGGCTTCAAGAAAAATAACAAACACTTTTCAACACTTAAAAAACTCAATTATTTTCTTTTTTTTCTCACTTCACAGCTTGCAGCTGAAGTTAGATAATTAAAAATAAAATACAAAAAACAAAAGCGTCAACAACTGTGTTAGTGCTCCCATCTTCTTTAGTAAAAGAGAGTGGAACGAGCATACATAACATATGCTTTTTATTTTTATTTTGCGCAAATCAAACGCAAACGTACTTCTCTCCTTGCTCGGCGCGTTCCTCAGCACGTTCCAAATCAGCTTCAACCATGGCCAATTTACGGGCAACCTTTAGATTTCGCAAACGCATTGTGTGTGGTATTTGTTGTACGTTGTACGTTGTTTATATATTTTACATTTCACATTGATTTTTGCGTATAGTAAAACATTGTTGTTGGAAAATCGGGGGAAAATCGAGATACAAAAGATATACAGTTATCAGTACATAAAATTCAGTTTTTTATTTTGTTTTCATTTTTTTTTTTTTTTTTTGCATAGGAAATGGCGAGCAAACAGCAAGAACACAGATGAATAGGCACAGGCAGGCAGGCAGGCAACGAGTACAGGTAGTATATAACAATCCTCTTGTCCGAGTCGTTTAGGTTTGATTTGATTTGGAAACAAGCTTATGTATGACGAGTTAGTGGAATTGGTTTTTGTTTTGAGGTTAATTTTTAAAAAAAAAAAAGTTTGTTTATATATATGTATATATAAGTGTAGCGTAATAATTAATTATGCTGTATTTATATGTTGATAGATACAATTTTTTCATATTATAAATATTTGTAAAAAAAAAAATAAAACTTGTGCGCTCATTTCATTGTTTACCTAATCTTCATTATCTTTTCATAATTTTACACTATTCTTACGAGCTATGAGCAAGTAGTATAACTTCTTCGTTGTAAGAGGTTTTATGTGGTTTTTGTACAGGTTTTTATAAACTTTCAGCAGTGACTTGCAGACGAGTACTATTAGTATTCAGTTGATGTGATTAAAAATTAAGAATTTTTCATTAATTCGACCTAACCTAGAAACATGTCAACTTCGTTCAATAAAACATTTTATTGACTTTCGGAAAAAGTTGCAGCGGCGATAGAGTTTTTCGTAGATAACAACATAAAAATCGCAGTCCTACGCAAAATTATTAAAATAAAGTGATTAAATTGATTGTTTACTTCTCTGTATGATAACGAACTCCTCCCTTCCAGCTAGACACTAGTTTACTTATTTAATTGCTATAAATAGCTGTACATATTTTCTTATACTCCCTTTGTCGTTCAGTACTAACCATGAGCTAGGTTTATATATGCAATATTATAGCAATATTCCAGAATTATAGCGATTTTTTTTTAATAAATATCGCCTTCAATTAGATGGCTATGAAGCGGCAGTCATATAGATTAATTTTCCCTTATCGTATTCAATATTTACAAATTAATTTTCCTGCTTTCAATAAAGACAGTCATAGACACTTTTCCTTTTTATTGTCACATGCCCAGGTGAAACTTATGCATTGGTCGTTGAACGGATTCCCAAATTATGGAAGTAGCAATGTCCACAGGGCAAGTTGGTTTGTGACTTAGCTTTAGCTTTAAACCAAGAAAGTAGTTTCTAGTCACTTTTTGATGACTTGTATGGACGAAAACTTTGACATATTATTGACGTTTTATAAACGCTGATTCTCACAGCGAGCTCCCAACAAATGGATGTGTCCTACAGTTTATTCTAAGCTCTTGAATTTTAATGAGGAGTGAATGTCAGAAATACACTCCTAGGGGTTGACTTTCCTTACCTTGCATAGACGTACGCAATTAGAAAAATTAATTTTGGATGTTACAAGTGGGCAGGCTTCGAATCAATGATCTTCTGTATGCTACTAAGCACTGCTAACCACTCTGCACAGCCTCCAGTTTTCTACAAAACAATATATGGCCTAATTAGGCAAACAATGTCAGAAGGCGTAAGTTTTTGAGAAGACAACCATTAAATACTTAAGTCTTGCGCATACATACACGTATGTGTGAAAAGTGATTGTGAAACTGCTGATCGGCATTTATTTAAGACTTTTTGGATTTAAATATGCAAAGGTAAGCTTTTCAACTTGTTTTAACAAGCTCAGTTTTGTGATCATCCATACACAAATATGAAAGACTTTATCCTGAACGACTCCCCAGATCAAAACACACTCTAAACCACTGAACATAGAGACCTGAAACTTCGAGGGATTGTTCTGCATATGATGTAGGCATCGCTTAGGAAACGATTTTCCACAGAGTGTACCAAAAATTCCAAACCATTTTTAAATCGTTTGATTTACATGAAATTTGGTATAAATCTTGTTCTTTGCCTGAACTGACATGGGAAGCACTTTTTCGGCCGGGAAGTGAACCAGGAATCAATGTATTCGGAAAATTCGTATTGATAGTTAGATTCGCTTTAAATTTGAAACATAGATAGGAACAAATGCCAAGTGTGGTCGATTTTAAGTCGTTATTGTTTTATTCATATTTTCCAATTCATCCGAGTCATCCAAGAAATTCGGCGGGACGAAGGCGAAATCGTTTGAATTCGCTAATATTGTTCTCATGGTACCGGAATATTATAAAAAGTGCATATAATTTTGAAATCTATAACATCAGGATGTTTAAGCGCTAGAAGTTATTAAAAAAAATTATAAATCCTATATATAAATAAATCACGTGTTTTAACTGTTTTTCTACAGTCAAAACTTGGCTTGTTTTCAAACTTCTAAATTTATTTTTAGCATGGTTTTCAGCCAGATAACTGAAGATTTTGTTTAATTCCATTTGATTAACCTATAGTTCAGAAGTTTCTCTGGGCGTAAGTTCCCATAAAGCGCTAAGACGAATAAGAAATAAAATGTAGGTCAAACTACTCACGATGTAGTCAAATCATACGTCTAAAGCAAACGCATAAACACCGTTACATTACATGGCAAACACATCGCATTCGCATATTCATTTGTATAATTTTACCAAATATGGCCAAGTAGTGAAATTATTATAACAAATGAGGACTTCTGCTACTACTCCAGCTCAAATGAAGATGGCAAACGGCTGAATCATAATCGAGTTTGATAGTCTCGCGCTTGGAATGTGCTATACGTACGTACATACACGTATGTATATACGTACCTATGTGCATGTGTGTTATGTAGAGTAAAATATGAGAAAGCAAACATACATATATATGTACATATGTATATGAGTATGTTTAAATTTCGACCACTTCTCATGCCATTTTAGTGAAAATGATTCATCAATACGAAGGGTGCGATGAAATCACCAGCAATTTGAAGAAATTCAACACCAAAAAGAAATACCTTCATTATGAAGTATTGCTTGCGCAGAACTTAAGGAACATAGGGGGACGGTCAACTGTGAAAAGGCATAACAAATTAGTATAGATACCCTAAAGTTTTGCGGAAATCGCTTACGTACATATATTAATTTATGTTTATTACACAAATTCGTAAGTCAGTTTAAATGGGAGAGTGCAAAAAGAGATATCGTCTCTACGTCTGAAATAAACAAAAAAACATATTGCCTGAGTCACCCTGTTTCGTGCGTTTTTTTTTTTTAATACTTTCTACTTAAAGTCTTCATTCAAGCGCAACCTTTGCATTCTGCTGACGTCATTAATGCTTGGAAAATAATAAAATAAAATAAAATTAATTTATTATAATTTATTTTTGTTGTATTACGGGTATTTTCGAGTAATGCTTATCTATACAGCGACAGCGAGTGCTTTTTTTTCAAAACGAAACATACTTTTTTGCACTTTATTCATCGTACACGCTCAGTAAAACCGCTGGCAGTTACTAGTCAAAAAGGCGTATTGTAATCTTATCGCATGCAGCTGATCAATTAGAAGTTATCAATTTTGTTCTTCTGCCTTTATTGTTTCGTTAAACTTTTAAACTCTATATACGTGCCTACGAATGTACTTATGTACCATGGATTTCCTTTGTGATAAAAAAATTGAAAAAAAAAAAAAAAATTTGAAAATAAAAACATGAAAATAAAATATACATGAAAATAAATATATATATAATATATATATATAAACCAAAAAAATATTATTTGGCTGCCTATTAAAAAACAAATTTTTAAAATTGCCTCCAATTCCTTTTCTCAAACAAGTAAATATTTAGAAATTTAATAAAATAAAAATCAGTTTTCTTCTATCTGAGTAAAACCTGTTACTAAAAATTGTACAAAAACCATTACAACTACAACGAAGAAGAAATGCTCCCATTGCTCCATTTTTATTAAAAACGACGTGCTCTGTTTTTCAGTATTTTGCTTTGAATCAATTAAATTTTATTTAATAATTATTATGAATGTAAACAAAATTTTATAATTTGATATGTTGAGTTAAATAAAATTTTAAATATTTATCATAAACATAAAATGGTGTATTAAATTGACATCTTGCAGATGATTTGGATTGGAAAAATTTTACATTTCTTAATTTTTTTTTTTAATAACCATTACATAGTTAAAATTGCATGAAAAGATAATAGTTTGAAAAAATAGTAATAAAAATAAAAAAAAATTTAGTGTATCATTGAATTTTAAAAAATACATTTTAACAATATTTTCCACCGTTTAACCAATAATGGTCTTAAAAATTTACATTTGTATATTAAATAATGTGAAAACATAATTAGCGTTTATTATTGCAAAAATTACGAAATCAAATTGTACCTTTTGGACGATGTGGTACATATACAAAAAATATAAAGGACTTTGCATGATTTTTATTTAATTTTTTTTTTTTTGCATAGAAAAAAGGCAAGGCTAGGCACTGTTAAGAATTGCATTACACTTTGTGTTTACACTTTCTGATATATTAATTTTTTTAAGTGAATTTAATGGGCTTTAATGTTTGAATCTTATTCAACTGTGTAATGGGTACAAAATTATGCCGCAAATTGCCAAAAAGTTTCGTAAATACATACAAATGTATGTAAGGTTTGTTTTTATTTCTTATAAAGTTTTAGGGAAGAGTTTTTTAGGAAGTAAATTCATGTTTTCTTAGAACTTTTTAATATGATTTTAATTTGTAATATTTTTTTTTCTTTTTTTAAAGTGGTTTAATTGCCTGCAGTTATTGCAGACAATCTTGTTTTACTTTATTTAACTATATTTACTTCTTTTATATTGTTCTCATGTATGCTTTTTGCTTAGCCATTTTTTGTTTTTTTTTTATAACTCTCTTGAAATTATGTGTTTAACCCATACTTTTCTCTCAAAATAATGTACATTTGCATAAATGTGTATATACATTTGTTTATATGTACATTTTACATATTTTTTTTTTTAATTTTTTAACTATTTTTGTTGAATATACAACTTTTAGTAGCAGCACAAGTTTCATTATTTATAAAAATATTTTCAATACATTGCGTTAATCAATTATTTATGTATGTATGTATACAGTTGTTATTATCTTTAGTTTCAATTCCTAAATATACGTATCAGTTACATTGTTTCCGTTTCCGTTTCCGTTCGAACAAGTATCTATACACATAATGCACGCACAGCAACAACCAAAGCGCTAAATATCCAAAGCAACAGGACCTTACTGAGACTACACACAGGCAGTTACGTCTGGCCGCTGGATTAAGCTTCGCATTGGACATATAGTATTTTAGTTATTGCCTCTAATTGTCTGTTCGCCATCGTCAAGTTCGTTTCATTCACTTTTAATCTTCATTCTTTTTTAGCTCAACTCACTGCATATATGTATGTATGTACAAACTGTTGCAATAATTAGGTATTTTTGTTGTTCATCAGTATAATACATTAATATTCGTTGAGTTTGTTCACTTGTCCGCTATAGCAAAAATCAGGTTACTTGTGTGGGCGTTGGCGCCGTTGTGTTGATTTTGCTATCAACACTGCTGACTTCGGTTGCGTTGTTCCTGCTGTTCGTATTTGTATTTGTGTTTGTGTTCGTGTCTGTGGTGTTGGCGTCCAAGTCCGTATCAACATTAGCGTTAACGTCAGCGTCACTTACTACATTTACATTACTATCACTAGTGTTAGTTGGATTATCAATTGCATTTGCATTTGCATTTGCAGTTGTGGTGGTGGTGGTAGTGGTGATGTTGTCGATATCATTATTGGTAGTGAGTGTGGATAAATGGTTTCTTAAGAATGAAGACGACTCAGCGATAGAACAACTAAGCTTAGCTAATAAATCAATGATTGGTTTATCATGTTGCACCTCATCGTATTTCTTGTCAGCCTCCTCAGCAAGGAAACGAGCTTCCTTCAATTGATTCTCAAGTGCGTCCATGCGTTCTTCATCGGCAAGGGCGCGATTCTCAAGGATCTTACGTGCGCTGTAGTTTCATTTTGCAAAAGATGTTTTCAATGCCCATAGGAGACCGTTCAAGCAACGGTATATGTGTTGAGAAAAAAAACGGCGAGGACGCATTTTTAGCCAATAACAGCGATCAGATGTATCCATCGGTGTGTCGACCATGTTGTTTTTGTTGTTATTTTTTTTTTTTTTTTTGTAGTTACATAGATACAGGTGCATACAGGTACAGACGGGAGCAGTTTACACATTAACGTCGACATAAAAACATTAGGGCGGTAACGGCAGCGCACATGTTTCGTTGTTGGTAGGTATTCGTTGTAGTTGAAATTATATAACATTAAGTTGCGTACATTTAGACATAAGGAAGAATATTGTATTTTGTGTTGTTATTGTTGTTTTTTGTGCAGTTTTTTTTTTTTTTTTTTTTGTAAATAAGTAATATTGAAGCGACGACGCCGACCATTTTCGTTGACGATTGGTTTATTTAACCAGTAAAATATTTTGTGGTTTTATTTTAATTTTTTTTTAGGGAATAAATAAAAAAGATTTTGTTGATATTTAGTTAAATGCTACATTTAGAAGCTATAAAAAATATTCAGTTGATAATTAAGCATAATTACAAATACAAAAACTTCTTTAAATTGCTTGCATTCTAATAATTAGTTTTTTTTCTTTTAAAAATAATTACATATGCTCATAAACTAACGAAATGATGTCTATCGTTTTACTAATACGAAAATTTAAATAATTCTAATATTCTTTGTTAACAATTGAACTTTAACGAAAGCATTTCGAAACGGTTTAAAACGGTTAAAACGGATGTTTATGAGCTTTAACAGAAGATCTTTTTGCTTTTGACGCGTTAAATTAGAAAAAAAAAATTATTTTATTGACCGCCTTAACGTTAACATTTCCAAATTTTTCAACCGAAATCATTGAAACTTTTTTATAAACGCAAAATTTACCGTTACGTTGCAGTCTTACTTAAAAAATGATAACTTAATATTTTTCATTCCAATTTTTTGAACTAAATCATATTGTGATTGATTATAAAATGTAAAAAAGAAAAAATTCGCTGCACGCAAAGTAAATACATTTTTGCATTCGCTTACAGATTTTTTTTCTTAAACTAATATAATTTACAATTTTTGAGCATAATAATATAACTATATATATATTATAAACTTAAAAGTAACACTAAGATTTAAACTTATTTCAAAAATTAAGCTTCGTGAACAGCAGCTTGTAGTGTCCAGCATCCAAAGACAATCCAAGAGTCACAACAGTTACCAGACGCGTTGTTTAACACAAAAATTTCTTAAAATAGTACTTAAAAGTATTAAAAAAAAAACAAATATAAAAAAAAATCGGAGCGAGAAAGTTTACGCTTTCCTACTTTAAGAGAGCTTTACCCACACTTTGAGAGTATTTTTGCAAATTTCCTAAAACCCATCATATAAAATACCGCAGATATGTAATTAAAACCTAATAACCCTAAGTCCCTAACGCGCTATACAAACGCACGCTAGTTTAGAGCGTACTAAATGTAAACTTTTTTCAATTGTTTTTTTGTTTTTACTTCAAACTATACCTCTTCGTATTTTTTATCGGCCTCTTCGGCAATTAATTTTGCCTGCGCTAACTGAGTTTCCAATATGGCTACTCTGTCATCTTCCATATTTGTACGATTTTCAAGCGCTTTTCGTATCCTGCATATTGGAATTTTTTTTTTTAATATTGTTAGAAGTATACGCATATTGTACAAATTGGTAATACATTTTTTATAGATTTTTTATAATTTAAAATACTTTGTATCTACATATATAATATATAAATTTTATACAAATAATAATAATAAAATAATCAAATATTATATAAAGAAAAATGCTTTGTTGCAATTCGCAATCAAAGTCATACTAACCGTTCGCTCTCATCGGCAGCTTGGGAAGCTTCCGAAAGCTTGGCTGTGGCTGATCCCAAACGTTCCTCTGAACGTTCCAAGTCTTCTTCGAGCAATTGAATGCGACGGTTCAATGCAGCTACTTCTGATTCGGCCTGTAATTTCAAGTTGAACATACACACATTGGAAATGGTAACTTCGTTTAAACACAAAGGCAAACTTATTGAGTATTAAATACTTTAATAACATCAATTATATAAAACTTAAATTAAACTAAAAGCTTATAAGCTAATAAATATCGTAACCTACATAATTACATTAGATATACTCAAATACGCTTTAAAATATATGTTTCTAACTCAAAATCTATTGGTTTCTCAGAGGCTTGCAATCGGAAATGCGATTTTGGACAAAAAGCGGCAACAAAAATTTAATATTTTGCAAAATTTGCCAGAACTAAAACTAACACCTTATTCCCCTACTTGTGGGTAAGCTCCTTCCCCCCCTTATTTTAAAAAATATATGGATTCGTTGTTGTAAGAAATTCCTTTAGATCCGCTTTTGAGTTGGTGATCTGTAAAAACAAATTTAACAGAGCTTTCTGCCTAAAATATGTGCAAATATGGTATATTTTTAAGCATACATATTGTTACTAAGTTTTCAAAGCCAAAACGTTCTATGTACATATAAATAATTATATATGAACATACATAATCGAAAGGAACCAAATGGTTTTACTCTAACACCAGAGACATTTTCAACATATTTATAGTTGGGGTCATTTTTATGTTGTTACAAAATTGAAATAACCAAAAGTTTTTATATATTTTCGTATATACATATGTATGTAAGTATGTATCTACTTTCCTCAAATGACCTTTAAAATAACATAAACTAAAAAGACCAAAAAAAAAACCACTACAAACAAACAGGCGCCAAGATGATCATCGCACTTTTCTTTCTATATACCAGCAACAGCAACAACAACATTATCAATTAAAGTTGAATGACATCATAGCGCACGAGACACACGGCATGATAAATAATACTATTAGCGTTGCCGAAAGAGGCTCTAAGTTCGAGTATGTATATTTCCCACAGTAAGAGTAACAAAATGAGATTCAGTACAAATAATGAATATTAAAAAAGAACGAAAATTTAAACAAAAAAATTTTTTGATAAAAGAAAAAAAAATATAATTTTTTTAATTTTTAGTGAAAACAATTGCCAGAAGTAGATACGCATATATGTATGTACATACATATATACAATTTCTTACTAGAAGAAGAGAACAACCCAAGCGAAAACAATGCCATTGGCCAAATAACCAAAACATGTAACAGTAAACTGCTTAAATGTCAGCACACGAAAAATTCAGAAATCTTGCGTTTGCACGCTTGGTCGGCGCAACCACGCGCCAGTTAGTTGCCCACAGGGGCATCAACGGCTTTTAAAGCACCACCAAAAATTCTGCTACAATGAAATAAAAAAAAATTAAAAAAAAAATACCTAATGCAAATAACCGAATTGCTAAAGTGAGATAGAAAAGTGTAGAAAATTCAACAAGCTTAATATATAATATATAAAATATATGTACATATGTACATACATATTTATTTATTTAATAACACGGTAATATTTATCACTTACTACCCTCGAAATAAATTATAGAAGAGCAGATATTTTAAAGAAAATGTGCCTATGTACGTATGTACATACATATAAGGCATTAATGTCAGATAAATTGAGAAAAAAAAGAATTAAAATAGAAAAAATTACCACACGCTCTTTGGGCACCAGTTATGATATGAATGTGAATGAAGGTAAGCTTACGTCATCGGCTGCCGGGCAATGTATGTATGTACATACATATATAGATAAATCTGCATACAAACAAACAAGCCAGTAAGTAACCAACCATCCAACCAACCAAATACAGTCTACGAATACGGGTGTGGACAAGGAGAAAGAATTGAATATAAAAAAAAAGAAATTGATAAAAAGCACTATTAGCTTAAAAACTTAGACAAAACAGTAAAAACGACTATAGAACAGCGCTTTCAACACGTTTTTCAACTCTCTTACAAGTAATCTCAAAACGGTCATTGAATTGCAGAATTCGCTAAAAGCATTTAAAAATGCAATACAACTTGCTTCTTCATACATACATATGTATGTATGTAAACACAACAATGAAATGCAGAACAATTGGGCATAATAAAAATCTTATAACCGCACTGAGAGATTAACCTCAATTTAAGTGAACGGATGGTGAATGTGGTAGAAGACACACTCGCATAAAAATATTCAAAAATCATTTAAATTTATTTTGTTTTCTTTAGTAAATGTTTTCTGCAAATACATATATATATGTACATACATACATACAGACAAACGAAATATGATAGTTTATTTTAGCAAAGTTTGGAAATCGGGAAGCAAAAACAAAATATAACTAATCATGTTGCTACAAAAGTTATATATTATTTTTGAAATTATTGATGTGGATATCACCACACATACATACATGGATATTTATGTAAGTATTAAGGAGCACATTTTGTCATAAATTCTATTAAAATAGAAGTTTAGCTGCATTTGTTGCGCATACCAAAAAAAACTGTCACATGGCGTTGCCAATAACAACAAATAACAACACACGACCAAATGAGTATACATAAATATAATTCACTCATTACAATGACAGTATAATCGTTGTAATGTCATTGAGGTGTGTGCACGGCAAAATAGAAAAAGAAATACAAAGCTTTACGCTGATAAAATATGCAAAGCATTTATTCATTTTTAATCAGTAATACGTAATATATTTGTATATGTGTAGGTTTCATTTATGTAACTACATACACATATAAATAGTTTATATTAAGTTAATTAATACTAAGTATGGAATCAATAACGTTTTAAATGCCGAAAAATTTGTAGATTGACAGCAAGTGCAATTGGCTTATTTGTAGCGGCGTAACAGCACTAAAATACACAAATCCACATACATAAGTATATATGTACATCATACCTTAGGTACGTTTCAACGCTCAACTGCTGTTATTAAGGCAATAACTTTTCTAATTATATTTATTAGGAGATAATTGAGAATGCCTTATGCAATGAAATGAAGGTCACCAATTATTTAATCAACTTCGCATCACTTCGTTTTATAAATCCATATATACATATGTACATATACATACATATGAGTGTCTCCATACACAATTAAATTTTACCAAAAACGACATTGCAAATCAAAACATTATATACCATTAGTATAGGTTTTACGTACAAAATGAAAAATCTATTAGAAAATTGCAAAAAAAAAAAACAAAATTCTAAGTCCACTAACAAAAATACTAAAAAAAAAAAAAAAACAATTTAATTAAATGTGTGACAACTGCGAACTATGACTCGCCTATAAAGCATTTGGATTCAAATAACAGATGAAAAAACAACAAACAACACACATAACAAACAAATACATAAATATTTTATATCGCATATGTATCAAATATAAATGTATTTACATATGTTAACATATGAACAAAATAAAAGCTTCTAAAAAAAACATTGAAACCAAAATCAACTGGACAATTTAGTTTCTAGATTTCCAGATGAGGGAAATACTTTTGAAATAAAACGACCGACCGACCAAATGAATAGAGGATATTCTCAGTCATGCATAACATGAATTAGCACAACAGAATGTCGACCGTCCTCCAGCGCGCTGCAGAGTGTAGGTACCAAAACGTTTGGAGGTCGATCTGCGGCTTTTGTAAAAAAAAAAAAGCGTTTCAGACAGCATTCAAAAGCTGGGGGCAAATCATCAGTATACATACATACATAAATACATATTATATGTATGTATAAGCCCTACCATTTATATTCCCCAAAGTAATTTACATAGTTACATTAGTACATACATACGTACATAGTATATAAGAAGATACAAACGTATGTACAGCCAAATATACATATGTTCATACATCATATCAACGCATAACAGTTTCAAATTCGTTACACATATCGCATAGATATAATTCAAAGAATACTACACATCCCTATAATATATATGTAGATATGTACCTAGACTACACATTATTGTGCTAAAGCAAAAAAAAAAAAGTTACTTTATTTGATGCATAGTGAATACAAAATATGAAGAAATGGCAAGTGTACACACATACAGACATGTGTTTTGTACAAAATTGTATTATATTTAAAATTATTGTCTCTATTCTTTCACCTTATAGTGAAATAAAAAGATCTAAGATATGTAGATTAGAATGTTATTTATTTTAATTTGTTTTCACGAATTCATAACGAACATTCTACTTAAATAAAGCAAATTTCACTTTGCTGTTTGTGCATGTAAATTAGAATTTCGTTCCTTTTGGCATTTACTCTTTGCTTGAATTCTTATGAAAAAATCTACAGTAATTATTGAAATTGTGTTTGAAAGAACAAAATGCTATAAAGTTAACGGAATGCTAACTAAAATTATTTTTAACTGTTATATGGTTATGTGGGTATTCACCGGTTGAGTACCCAAAAATAGCAGTTTGGCTAAAGTAGAGTGAATAGAATAAGTCTTTACATCCAAATAGCTATTGGATCTATCAAAAAAAGTTAATAACGCAGACGCCACATTTACTTGTATAAACTTTCTTTTCTCATGGAGATTTCCACGTAGAACTAGCAATTATTTTTTTCTATCATTTAAGCATAAGCTTTCGCGTCTATGTAGAATTAATGAATAAATGTTCATGAGTTCCATTCATAAATTAAGTCCCTTTATACTATTATTTAATGTTTTACTTCCAAAATGAAAATGGAAATAGCTGAATGATCTTCAGATATGGCAATATTGGAAAAAGATGTTCCATATTTATGCAAATAGTATCAGTTTAAATGACGTAAAAAATATTGTTGTTCTTGTCGTACACTTGAGAAGGCAATGGCGACAACAAAATATAACAAATTCCCACGATAGTAGGGATATTATAAAATAATAAGTACTTAAAGGACAACTATTTCTAATACAAACTTTTTCAATGCATTTTTTCCCGAATTAACCTCAATGAGAAACCAATAATTTTGTAAATTTTAAGAAACAATCGTCGCTCCAACACCTGTGCACCTGTGATAAGCGACACGAGCGGCATGAGTGCGAACCTCCCCTAATTCTCTCAATACACTACAATTAATCCTAGAGCAAACACACTTACTTCCTCACGACGAACCACCTCAAGTTGCAAACGCTTGTGATACTCCTCACATTCATCTTTATATTTCTCCATTTCTTCTTTGGTCTGACGCATCTTCTTCTTTAGCACATCCAAAAGAGTGCCTTGTGGAATGTTGGTCGTCATATTTAATATCTTTTATAATAAATAGGTGGGGAGAAGGATGATCAACAACACAACTGCTGCACTATTTTTTTTTTTTTGTATTTATTTATGGAATGACACCACTGATTTTTGGCTCAATCGTTGTTAGGTTACTTGGAATTCGCTTCGCACTTTTACTGACGACTACCACGCACACAAACTGCACACAAGTATTGCTCAAAACTGGAAAAAGATAAACGAACTTTCGTTTCTTGGCTTTTGTACAATCTCCTCTTTTTATATATAGAAAAGCAATTTCAACAACTGAGTTGCTTTTCTATAATTTATATTATTTGATAATTTTCGTACTTCTTTTTGCAGCACCAAGTTATAAAATTTATCTTTTGCTTTTATGAAATGAACACGACGGTGACAAGGGCTCGAACAATCAAAAAAAAATTAAATTACGACACGAAAAGTGGCGAAAAAGAAATATAAAAGATACGAATGCGGAACGTAACGAAACGAAACACACTACACGAGCAATTTGGAACCACCGGTTTTTCTTCTGCTGCTTTCCTACTGTTTCCTCTTTCTACCTTCTTTTTTTAACTTTACTGCAAATTTTACTACTCTTCCCTTCTTTAAGCAGGTAACTTAAATCAGTGATTTTATTATTAAAATAAACACTATTTAGTTTCACACACAAATCAAACACAACTAACTTTCGAATTTGCTAATTTTTGACAGAAAAAAAACACCGTCTCGGTTTTAAATGCCGCAGCGAAAAACTAATGAGCTCAGCACTGAGTGAATTCGTAACACAAAATGAAATCGTTGAAAAAATTCGAATTCTTTGGAAGCGGCGACACCGACCAGCCAAAGATTACGTTGACAAGTATGCGCTATGTTGTTGCTTTTGTTGCTATTGGAAAATGAACGACCCAAAGAGAGCAAGTCTCTCACAAGCCTCGCCTTAATTTGTGAATGACTCAAAACTACATCGAACAAGGCCAACTAGCGCCGTATTTAGTTAAGCGCATCCATAAAACGCACTGTTGCGCGAGCAGGATAGTAGCACATACAGTATTGAATTTGAAGCACAGAAAAATTATTTTATTTGTCAATGAGCACGAATCGACAGCAGTTTTTCTGCCAAACCAAATCTAACAATAAAAACATTTTGTTTGGGAATAAAAAATATGGCACGAAGTTGCAGAAAACTGGTAACGCACAATAAATCATAAATCAGCACATATAACACTTGTTGGTTGCTGCAGACGTGCTCCTTGTGAGACGGTTGTTGCCAGATGTTCCCATTTTTAATATCGATGATCCTTGTTCAAAATTAACAAAACTTGGTACAAATGCATCATTTGGGAAAAGTACAACTTCCGGTCAGCGGAACCAAGAAATTTTAATGAGTTTGGCAAGGATTGTCGCAAGCGATGTACAAGTTTAAAAACTACGTATCAACTTGCTACAAACATTTATCCCAACCTAATTTAAGTAATTAAACCATATATTGCAAACGTTAATACTTTAGTTTATGTATAAACATAAGCATATTTAATCTCTTTTATACAATATAAGCTATTGTACTTGAGTACTTGGGAATTCTCATAAGCACGTAGGTTTTCCATTTATAGTTGGTGACACATGGAGTTGCACACTTTGCATGATAAATAAGATATAACATAAATATATTATAAGTTAGTACGTCTGTATAAATGTATAAACGTTGACAATGAAAGAAATCAAAAGTGAAATATTTTTTGCCGCATTTACACCATTCCATATTTGCTCAATTCGGTTTGCAATGGACTGGCGACATGGACTGCGTCCAATCGGAAGGTCGTTGCTGCCATAAATGCCAAAAGAAGAGCGAAAAACGTGATAATTATACTTTTCAAAGTGCTTAATAGCAATTATGAAAGCATGTTAGAATATTTTATGCTTTTATTTTGAGTGTAAACTTAAAAGGCTAGATAGTTTAAAAGTATCATTTTTGGTCAAGAGCAAGCATGTGATTACTATTTTTATATAGCGTATATTGTGCACAATACAGCACCAGTTAGTTTATCCAATCAATATGTTGCCATAAAAGGTGCTATTGACCATTTAAAATATTAACAAGTTTTGAATGGCAGTACAAAGAACAAATAGTTAATTTATGAAGCCGCTTAAACCGGCCGAATTCATTTTGTGAATAACCGATGCCGTGGAATCGAAAAGCAATGTTACATCAAAATTTCAAAGTAGAAAGGATGAACATGTGCACACTTCTTTATCTGTTTTTCAATATTAAAATTTAGATATTTTCTCAAATCTAGATTGTTTTTAGAACATAGACACCTTCAATATGAATTTAAGTAAAAAAAAAAAACTAAATTCCATCGGCACTTTTATGTAATTTTTCACTACACTGTTATTCTGCCCAATTTGTGCAAAAATTTAATTCAAAGCAATCTATTTAGCAAAGAATGAGCTCAGCACCGAAAAATACGCCTGCCAAGAAGGTCATCGTCTTGCTAGGTATGTACGTGCAAGTGTAGAAAAAGAAATTCGCAGCTCAAGAACACAATCAAGAAACAAGCGTATATGCATTAAACTGGGTCATTATCTATAAAAGACGACGTACAGAGAATTGCAAAGTACCTATGTGTATGAAAAATTAAGTAGTGAATATGTATATATGTACTTTAATGCATATACAATTTTTCTAATGAACATTAGTTCATCAGAGCAAAATTATATAAATGTATATTCACTTTTATAGTTATTAAAATTTAAAAATGTCAAAACATGGTAAAATGAAATATTTAAACTCTGCAAGCCCATGAAAACAAAAAGAAGAAAAATAATAAAAAATTCGTCATTAAGGGCGTTTTCTTTATCACACCCATTTTTTTTTATCTGCCTTAAGGTGGAAAGGTTGAATTATAACCTGATACCTGTATATGATACTAATGCAATTTCGCTACACAAAACTTAATTTGACTTCAATTATTTTGAACGTATTGGCTTTGAAGATACTTATAAACATACGTAATTCATTGCTGAACCGACGCTCTTCATTTAAATAACTAAATTTTCCAAAATATTTGCACATATTTTTACACCAGAAAATAAAAACTTTGTTAATTAGTATTTGAATGCAATTAATAAAATGAATATAAAATATTCTTGCAATTGACACCTCACGGTGTCATATGCCTTTAATTACCCGTTTAAGTTGCGTTTTCATGATGTTATGCAATTCATTGCGTATGATGTTGAACTTCATCATAGTATCGGAGCTGAATATGGAACGCCCAAACGCTAGGCCAGGATAATCTGCACAACGACCTTTGTTACGACGCGCTTCACGCTCTGCTACGATTTCTGCAGCTTCACTAGTACAGCGCAGTTTTGCCCACTCAGCCGCTTGCACGTCGTCATCATCAATCGCAATACCTTCATCTGCAGCTGTGTTCGCTTCACATGAACTTGTCATATTGCCATCTGCATCTAAACAAGTTGATGTGCGCTTGTTTTTATCCTTTTTAGCCTTTTTCTTTTTCTCTGAACGTTCTAATTTCTCGCCTTTATCACGTTTAGTTTTACTTTTTTGTGATCTAGGAGTTGTACCTTCGGTAGTTGTAGTACTGGTTGGTGTTTGTGCGCTTACAACGCCTTCGTCTACCATACTACTGTCATCCGTGGGAGTTGGACTGTTGCTGCCCATCGATGTAGTTACCGAATCGGTTAAAGGCAAGTTTAACAAAGATGATTTTGTGAGTTGTAAATCCATCTCTTCGTCCGGTTCATCTGTATACAGTGAGTCTTCCATAGTGGAAGATACGGTCTCTACATCACTAACCCCTCCTTCACCTCCAATGGGTACACTTCTTTCTTCTTGTACAGCTTGGGCTGCTTCACGTAAATTGGTGAGTACACTTTGTGAATCGCCACGGTAGAGTGCAGCGAGTATTTCTTGAACATTTGGTATATTTGGGCGACGCGTACCTGTAAACCGCGGATGATGTTGATGTCCCCGTCGCCTATGTGAGGTAGGTGCCACAGGTGATGTTGTAGTCGATGCAGAACCAGCACCACTTGTAGTGGATTGCATGTCTGCATCTTCAATACTTTTTTCATGAGCAGACATATCGGAATCACTCCACTCAATACTCCAGTCACTCTCGTAATCGTCGTCTACGTCACCTTCGTAAAATATTTCTTCTGATCTGGCCCGTTTACCGTTAAAAATGTAAGCTTTGTTTATATTGCAATTCCAGGCACAACAGGCATCTTCTTCGTCTTCACAGTAATACAGTAGTTTATCCAAATTATTTAATTGCTCCTCAATTGAATCCCAACGCGATGAAATAACTGACTCGGCATACGGTACTATAGATTTTTTTGTACCAACTGGTTTAACACCAATTGGTTGTTTACCTTTCTGCTGTTTTGATTTTCCAATGCTACTACTACCTGCTCCTCCGCCACTGTGGGCATTTTTCACTAAATTTTGCGATTTTCTTTTATGTTGCTGCTGCTTGTTTTGTTGTTGCGCTTGATGACACTTTTGCTGTTGCTGTTGTTGTTTCTTCTTTGTCGCTGAACAGCGACAGCTGTTCGTATGACTACCGCAATTGCAACACTTCGCTTGACACTTGACGTTTTGCTTGTGCAAGGTTGCCACACCTACCGTTGGGCTATTGTTCGCTTGGCGGTGCTGCCAATCGCAACCGCCACTCGTCAATAGGTGGCGGTGAGCACGCTTTATTTGTCGGATTTCTTGATTTGCACGTCGGCGACGTACATGCAATAAGGGCGATTCCTGCCGGTGATACAGTTGTGAAGGTTGTTGTTTGTGTTGTTGTTGTTGATTTGGTACGTTGCCAACTGTTGCTGGTGTAATTTTAGTTTTTGTTTTTATTTTTTTGTCAACAGTGGGTACTGCTGCTGGTGTTTTTTGTTTATCGACAGCGTTAACACACTGTGCCAAATTCAATTTTTGATTTGATGTTGTCTTCGTCCTTGAGAACTGATTGTTCAATAGCACTGCTGTAGCTTTTGCTACAGATTTACTATTTAGATTTTTATTTTTAACTTGCGCATTTGTTTTCTCCGTATTACTATCACCTCCACCTTTTGCTTTGAGATGATTTTTTAATTGTGGTCTCTTACTGTAACTCACTATTTGCCATGTATTTGAATTTTTTTGTTGATCGCACAATGTTCTCTGAATCATAATGAGTTTGCTCGCTGTAAGTAATCGTTTTCCGAATTTGCGCTCAAAAAATACAGGCAAATCAGTAAATGTAAGTTCATATATGTATGTAAGCAAGTTTGTAATACGGTAAATTATTTTATTGAAATACTAAACCGTTAATATTGATTGAGGATATGATATTGCTTGTGATTTCTTTGTAACGGTCTGTTCTTAACAGTCACTAGGGCTTTCTTTGTTGCTCTTAATTTCGTATGCCATCAAGTTGATAACGAAATGATAATCGCCGCAAATAAATGTGTATCTTGTTTATGGGCTGCTTAGCTTGTTTTCTATTGCATATATTTACTCCATAAATATTGGCTGCTGCTTTATTATGTTTTCTTAATTAATCTACTTAGTATGCTTTGTTTTCTGTCCACAAGCATTGTTTACACATATGCACATACATACATGCATATATTTTTCGCTGTTTTTATATGTATTTTTTGATTTTCATTACAATATTAACGTATGTATATATGTATGTTTAGTGCGTACACTTTCTCTTTATCTCACTATTTCATCGGCTTGCTTTATTCGCCTCACTCAATATAGGCTTAATTACTTTCCAGCAAATATTTTTTACAGAATCATGCAAGTACAAAAGTGGCATTAAGCTCGAAATATCACAATGTTCCGTATCATTAAAATTGATTGTTTGCAAATTAGTTTGGTAGAATTATTGTAGTATGATCACACCATTTTACCCTTGTGCTTGTTCATACATATCAATGTACGTATGTACATATGTATATTATATGCAATGGTATTAACGATACTGATACTGACGTAAAAATCACACCCGTTTACAAAAAAGTTTGCGTGATTTGGTAACCGTAGATTTGTTTCTCTACAACTTTGAACGCATGAAACATTTCGCTATATACATACATACATATGTATCTATGTTTCCGGTTATGTGCAAGTTTTCGATAATATCTGCAATTCTCACAAAATCCGTTGCGCTCCACTCACTTATTCCTTTACCGTATTTTCATATTTCCATTGCCTTGTATTTGACGTTTTGTATTTTTCTTTTTTTGCAAATACACCAAGTTAGTCAGTTAAATTTGCACTCTGAAATTTTATTTAACTTGCATTAAATAAAAATAGAGTTTTCTTTTATGATTTATTACATTAATTACATTTATTGAATTGAATATTGTTCCTTGAAAATCGGTGCTGCAACACACTTTTGAATAAATAATGTGAGTATATGACTCTACAATTTAATTATGCGGCATCTTTCGCCTCACTTCTGCGATGATTTAATTTCTGCTGTTGCTTCTTCTAACTGCTGCTCAGCTATTACCTCTGTTGCTGCTTAGTGTGCTGCTAGTGGCAAGTCGGTTGGTATATAATTTGTATATACATATGTATGTATGTACAGTGTTTGTTGTATACGAGTTTGTATAGCTGTAAGTTTGACCGTCATACGCTTAATTACTCCTGCTGCTCCATATGATCAGCGAACGCTCAGCAGTCTATCGCGCTCTCTACAATTTCTATACACATAAGTGTGTATATACATATGTATGCATATGAACAATTTGCTTGACTCATAGAAAACCACCCCCTACTATGACTCGTTGCTAACATCTGAGCGCACTAGTACACTCCCAGTGATCTATTAATTGAGTGTTGTTGAGGTAGAGTTGGAAACTTTTTTTATTAGCTGCATATATACATATGTGCGTGTATGTACGGTAAACTTTCTAACGACTCGCAGTATTCTCCCACTCTCTTGCGTCTCTTTTGAATTTTCCGCTTGACTAGCTGACTACAGTACACTAAAAATTCATGACCGTCAACCATCAACCCATCGACCCCACTGTGATCGTGTAGTTGAGTTAACAGAGCGCACGCCCGCCCTATAGCTATCTACACAAGCCAATGGATATGGTTATGTGGGAGAGTATACAATATGGCCATGTGCTTCGAGGCAGGTATGTGCTCCACTTTCTCTCCGTTGTCGAGGTCGCAGTAGAAGAGAGCCGTACTAGTCTATGTCATCGGGCGAGTGTTTTCATGTCGACTTTTTACTTTACTATATATACAACTTTATATGTATATATGTAAATGTATATTTGCATATACATAAGTACATATGTATGTATGGAAATATGTACACATATTTTTTTTTTTTTTTTGGAAAATTACAGTGTTATGAATATTCAGCCAACTCGCACAAGTGTATTATTGGTTCATGAATCAGTCATACCACATATATGTACATACGTGTATGTAAGGGCATAAATATTTTTTGTTTTTTCTTCTATGATTGTGCCAACTGTATATAGTCATTTATTATTTTCAATTAATTACTAACTTCAAAAGTATTAAATATATAATTTTTTAAAGATTTATAATATACATACGTATAAAACAAATTTAAATGTGGCTTATGTTGTAACTATACGCTTACATACACACACAAATACGTATATAAGACATTAGATAATATTCAAGTTTGCTAACATCTTCATTGCCGCTGGTGAAAAGTAGGTGCGCGTATATTACGTGATAACACATACGTGTGTATGTATAATTTGATATGTATTTCCTAAACACAATTTTTTAGCGCAAGTTTGTTACGAAAATGGCACACAAAATAATTTATTTCGCGAAATTCGTTACAAAAAAATAAACACAAGGTGTTAAATACATACAATATATATGTATATGCGCACGTGCATACGAGTACATACCTAAATATTTTTGTATATTTGCTAATTAATTAAATACTCGGCATATTAAAAATTCTTATATGTTTCCAGCAAATAAAGAAAATAAACATTTTAAATTTGCAAAATTTTTGCAAATTCTCAAAATATAAACAAGAACGCATGCGCTTGAAAGAATTTAAAAACAAAAAAAAATACACAAAAAAAAAATAAACGCTTTAAATTACTCTCTGAGAATTTAGAGCGTTATTCGATATTCAGAAATTTGAAATGCTGTTGCATTAACCTCTTTCCGCCGTATTTGGAAATGGGCGGTACATTCTTTCATTCTACTCTTTATTTTTATTAAATAAATTTGCATGTGTATGTATGTGAGCGAATGAGTGTGTGTGTGTGTATGTGAATTTTCCGAATTTTCTACAAATTAACGATGAGACTGATTTTTTAAAAATAGATTCAACGAATAACGAGCAAAGCGCCATTTTGATGCAGTTGGCAACGCGTACTGTCTTTTCGCTGCCAGACACATTTATGTCTTTGACTTTGCGCTCATGCGATTGCGATTGCTGTTATGTTAGCGCTGTTATGTTAACAGAGCATGTTTAAATAACAGCATAAGCTATTGTTGTCGTCAGTTTTATTTAGTTTAAAAGAAAATAATAATCTTGTATGTAGATATACAGAGTGAGATTTAAAAGTTTTTCATTTGGGATTTATGGACAGATTATATTTTGTTTGCTTAGCCTTAATTATATCAAGATGTTGGGCATGAAATATTGCTTTAGAAGCCTTTTAACGGCAAGTGGTTGTTGAGCTATCAAAACATTATTGTAAGAAATACATTTTGGGCTAATTGTCTTGCTTTTTGAGTGTTCAAAAAGAAATCAATATCAGTTGCTCTCATATCTAGAGATACATTTTCACTTATATAATTAGACTGCTATCGAGTATTTGAGTATATCTTATACATACATATATTTTCTTATTTATATGGTAAATAATATTAGAAAGTATATACATACACTATATATAGTACGGAGTATACTTCCAGTTTTTCTCTATTACTTCCTATTTCGTTTTTAACTCAGTGTTAAAAAAAAATACAAGTAAAATATATATCAAGTTTAGTTCGATTTTTGTTTAGAAAAATTAAGAATAAAATAGCAACACATAAACTTTTTTTTGATAATATTTATTTTAAAAAATTTGTTACTTCATATGTAATTAATATTTTCAATAAAAAAAAATTCAACTAATGCACTTAAATATAACACAACTACTTAATTAAAGCTGTGGGCAAATATAAACTAGAGCTCAAGCTAACCAAGTATCGAGCAGTATGAGTATCCGTAACGAATATCTAGTGCGTTGTACAACTGATCAAATGTTTGTTTTCGATATTGTTTATCAAAAATTTCCTTTGTATTTCCATGAGATTTTTACTTTGCATAAATCAATTTAAAATTATAGAGAAAAGTTGGGGGAAAAATTTTAAGTTTAATTGATTTTAGCTGAAAATACTTGAATGACTCGACCGCGCGCTACTCGAAAATGTTCAAACAAAAACTTGCGCTCTAATATAGAGGGAAGAAATATGCGTATAAAACGAATATGCATAAATACAAGAATTTAAGTAAATATTTTTTTAGTATATTATTTTATTATTTAGAATATTATTTTACTCTGTCACCAGCACTTTTAGAAACCGGGTATAATCTAACTTTCAACTACTTGAAATAAAATTTCTTACTCAATTATTTTAATTTAATTTAAATTAATTTATTGCAACTAATCTAACATAAAAATAAACTTATCAAACATTTTCCAATATATTTAATAAAAAATACATATGAATAAAATGTAGTGAAACCGAAAAACTTACATTTTGTAGCGCCTTGTTCTTCTCCTCCAATTTGCCTGTGACAAGTGTGAGTGCTTCTTGTGTCTGATCCAATTCGTTTTCAACAGTCTGGATTTTCTTTTGTAATTGACGAGCCTCTTCCTCGGCCTATGCAAGAATAATAAAAAATAAGCAAAAAAAAAACGGTTTAATATAAGCTTCCACACAGAAGATAGCGAAGTAATTGCGCTGTGTCTTCAACATAGAGAGTTCAGGCAGTAGTCTGCTTTGAAGCCTTCAAAAAATGAATTTTAAATCTATTCTAACATTATCCAGAGAATGTGTCTACAAAATTTTCTGTGGCCTATTCGACATGTTTTCGAAGCCAGAACAGTTTTAGTGGCCGAACGTGGAGCTGGTTCGTATGCTTCTTTGAAGCACGTTTTCTCCAGTTTTCATTTTCATATTTAGACTTAGAAAACGGTGCCGGCGATAGCAAAACAAATACAAATCAAAGTTAAAAAAATTTGCAAAGGCATTATTTAAACTATTTTTTTTTTGCTACTTGAAGAGAGATCTTTTCTTTATTAAAGCTTTTTTTCCAAACTTTGAAAAAAAAAATTCGAAATTTTCCAACTTTTTCGGTATTTTTTTAGTTCATACAGAAGAGGCACTCATATCAAACTCAAATTTCGGATAAGTCGAAAAAAACTCTACTGAGAAACCCAAAGCAATGCAATATTAATTATGAAATTATTAAAAATGCGTTGATAACTAATCTTTATGCTTTGTGAACGCAGCAAACACGTGCGTGAAATCGCCACTAACCACAATATTTAATTAAATTTTCTAACAATATGAAAACACAATAATTATTAAAAGGCAATATTAACGCACATATTTATGTACATACATATGTATTTAATGTTCAACTGTCATAATTGAATCATAAAATACGAAATGCACGCTCTTTATGTATTTAATTCGTGTGAATGATTGAAATAACTCTTTGCTGATTATTTATTGGTAACCTCAACGGCTTGCTTTAGTTTCTTTATATGATACAAGTATCTATCTATGTATATATAGAGGTATGTGAGTAATTACAAACCTTTTCGGCACGAGTATTGGCATCGCGTGCCTGCTGTTCACAGACAAGTGCACGTTCCAATGCTCCATCCTTGTCGATTTTCATCGCTTGCATCTTCTTCTTGATGGCATCCATGGTGGCTGGGTTTTGTGTTTGCTCTGTTTACTCGAAGAAACTGAAATTGGCACATGTGAAATGAAAAGAAAAGTGATTTAATCGCTATATAATATAATATGTACATATGTACGTATATACTTAAACACATAAAATCATACGTAAAGTAACCGTTATTAGTAAAATAAAACTACTTTTATACAGAATTTTTAAAAACTCCAAATACGTCGTAGAAATGTTAATGGACACACCTAGTGTGAAATTTCAAACAAAAAAAAAAAAAAAAAGCATTTTTTCATATTTTCGGTAGATTACACCTTTAAAAATAACATATTAAAATTTCAAATCGATATCTCAAAGAGTTTTTGAGTTATAGCAATTTAAAGAGCAGCCGCTCGGCAGCTAGAGAGTCTCATTATCTACGAGACGTACCTGAGGTATTTTATCTTTAAACGCGTTTTTCTCGATACAGCATTTTCCGAATTTGCAGCAGTGATTACTCAAAAACAAATGACATTTTCTATATATAATTCTCCGTACTATGTCCTATCGATTTTTGATCTAATCAAAAAATCGAATTTTGGCAGGCCAAAAGCGACCAACATTTTATTATATTATCTAGGAGAGAATGTTTTTTTAGATTTCATCCACGGAGAAGGCCGGAATCTCTACAGCAGTGAAGGACCTTTTTTCGCGCCGTTGGAGATCGACTATAACTTAAAAAACTATTAATTTTTTTTTTTCAGAATTGTATGTATTGTATGTTCTTGAAACTTGTATAAATATATTCTTAAAATTTTGAAATAATTGATAAAGTATTTTCTTAAATAAAAATTCCCAAAAATCACTATTTTTTAGACCATAACACTAAGTGTGCCCCTTAAGTATTATAATTAAACTAGCCTGCTATCTCTTTGACACTTATTCAGCGGTAATCCCTCTAATTTTCCTACTGAAGCGGCGGTTTTAGATGCCAGCTGCTACTTCTTATATCAAGCGAATCCTAGAAATTCCCTTATCACTGATATAAATAAGAAGATTCGGCGGAAAGTCGACCAAGATAAGTGGAACAAGTGGAAGGAATACTTAAGGTACTACAACCTCTCCTCGGTGGCAACGAAACTGGGCCACCGTCAAAACGTTGCCTA